ATATGTGTAAAAAGGCATCTTAACTGTAATGAAAGATTTTTCAGTTTTGGTATATTAGCATGTATATCAAAAATATAAAAGGCATCTATGTAAACTTTTGTAAAGAACTAAACTGTCACATTTCTCAAAATTGCTCATAAAACATTCTTGTGCATTGACTTACAATAAAATCTTTTATAAAATCTTATTCCAACACTCTGTCCACATGATCAGAAACTAGTCATTCAGAATGTGTGCCTATACTAAACATACAGAAAACAAAACAGTGAACAAAGGAATATTGGCACCTGAGATAAATGTTCGCAATCTTCAATGAACTTGTTGTTTCAAATTTCTCTGAAGATGGCCATACAGTATCCTTTCTGTAATGGTTTCAGCTCACTGTTGTTTTAAAACAAACAATAATAAAATAACCAAATGTGTAAGCTTGTTTAATAGAATTAACTATTGGGAATGCATAGTATTTTTTCAGAACTTGTGCTTAAAACAATAAAGTTTAAAATTATTCAGTCTCATTCCAATTTTTGTGTGCATGTACACTCTCTTAATATTACAGTGTCAAAGAATTCAAAAAAATTGTTGCAAAAGTTAGTAAAATTAAATTTACCTAGCTAAATATAATCAGGGTGCTCTGTTACATTACTTTTCTGATCAAAATGTAATAATCTAACATAAAAACTTGGATTCAAGTAGCACTCAACTGGCTCATAAGAATTCCAAGCAGTGAAATTATAAGGCTAAGCCTATATGCATATGAATTTATGACCCAAGAACAGTGAAGTGGAACAGAGATGCTGTCCAGACTGTTCTCTCACCCTGCTGGACAAGGCAGGATTCCTCAGTGCAGGCTAAGGGGATGTACGTGCTTTGTCGTTCCTCTGGGCAACAGCACACTGCGGGCCTGGCTAGCACTTGCATGCATTGCTGGTCCTTGAGAACAGGGTAGGGTATAGCAGTAAGGCTGAATTGAAATGTGATACAAAAATCTATTTAAGAACCCCAAACATTACAGAGACGTGTTAATTTAAATTAAATATGTTTTTAAGCAAATTACAGTATTTGAAAATTAGTGTCTTTCATCTATGTGACCCAAGAATTTTGTGCTTGCTGTGCTACAGCAGCTGACATCACATACACCTCAAACTCTACTTTGTTATTAGTGATCCAGAAGAGATGCAGAAACTGAGGGCCTACATTCAGGCCATGGCAAACAAAGAGCCTTTCAATTCACCTTTAAAATAATTCTGTGCATGCAGTCATACAGTGCAGGATGTGCAGCTATGGTCTCTTACAGTAAATACACTCTTGGGTGGCCTAATTAAAAGCAATACTCTGTATAGTTAGCCACCACCTCAGCAGCTCTGGTGCAACTGATCTAGATAAGGGTGTTAATTTCTCCAAATTGCCTGACAGATACTGACAGATTGGAGGAAGTTCAGAGGAGAGCAACAAAAATGATGAAGGGAGCAGAAGGAACAACTTAAGATAGAAGCTTGCCCTGACTAGGTCTATCTCAGGAGAAGAGGCCTTGGAGCCTCTTAAACAAGTGTATGTGTGGCTGTGGGGAGATGAGGGCTCTCAAGCAGACTTGAGGTGACACCCCATCAGCTGTACTTCACATAGGGCCCCAAACAGATGAAGCCAGTCCAGTGAAGCCTAGGTCCAGCCCTGCTGGATGTCAATGATCCTGTTGTAGAGAAAAAAACAAGCTAGTTCAATTTTTCCTGAGTCAGAACAATAGTGCCTTGTTTTCAATGAACAAATCAAGAACATACAGGTCTCTATGAAAAAAACAAATTTGCCAGAATGTGTCATCCAATCCATATGTTCTCTCTCATCTTAAATTACACATCTGAATCAACTACAGATTCCTCAGTGTTACGTTTTACACTCACAGAAAACCAACATGTACTTTCAGTCTATATTACATTTATTTTAATTAAGGAACATAGCCAAGAAGTTTGGCATTAATTATGCTACCATCCTTTCATTCTTTACTGATTACATCCCCTATTAACCTTTCCAAGATTTTGCTTAGGATTGATGTCAGGATAATCAGCCTATATGTATCTGAGTCATCCTGTTTGCCCTCTTTTAGATACAGGCACAACATTTGGCAAGACATTTAAACATAGGCACAATGTGGCACTGGATTTCAGAAGACAACTAGGGTACTCTTTATCTACCCCATTGCACCAGGTTTACAACAAACCAGTAGAGTTTACACGAGTTTTACACTTCTATGTATGGGGAAGTGTGGCCCAGCAGATAAAGCACTGGACTGGCTTCTATTCCTGGCTCTGCTACTGGCCTGCTGGGTGACCTTGGGCAAGTCACTTCATCTTCCTGTGCCTCAGTTTCCTAATCTGTAAAATAGGGATAATTATACTGACTTCCTCTGTAAAGTGCTTTGAGATTGCTAATGAAAACAGCTTTCTAAGACCTAGGTATTATTATTATAACTTCATTAGTTAAAACTCAAGTAACAATTGAGCCCCTAACAATCAAACTGCTCATATTCAGTGATGCAGTATGCAGAAAACAGAAACATACCATCACCCCGTCGTTAGAGCTATTAAACACACCTCAGCATCTATCACTACATTAAAAAGTAAATATACTGAACATCAAAATACAATGGCAGTAAAAAGTCCTATCAGATTCTGTTGTCATTCACAAACAGTGCAAAACTCTAACATGAATGGATGTCTAATGATTGTTGCTCCACATGGTGAATTGGATACAAAGGCCTCCTCTCTGGGTTGGGCCATTTAGGAAGGGGCAGAGTGGGGAATTAGGGCTAGCAGGCCCTCTCTCAAGCCACTGTTGCTGCACATATATAATTCCATTTTTATTACTATTGTCCAATTAAACTCAAAAAAGGAGAATTCGAGACAACGATGACCACAAAAGAGAGCATCCTGAGTGACCAGAAAGCACCGTTTCAGAGAAGAATTGTTGATGTTCTTGGGGACAAGAAAAAACAATTATGATCTTTTGGGGGCATAACAGACCCTTGGGTCACACAGCATAGCCTTTTTTTTTTCTCAGACTATCGTTGGACAAAGGAGGGAATGGGGGCAGGTTGGCGGGGAGAAGTCTGAACTGAGTGGGACAGGGAATAGTCTTTCACTGCAGATATGAATCCAATCTGTGGTTTGGAATTACAGTCTGTACCCCGAGAAGGGATTGGGTGACTTTGAAGATATCATAATACATAAATTCAGTTTATTGGCACAGCTCAATTGCCAAATATGCAACTGCCCTAAAGTGCTCAAAAGACACTGAACACAGAGTTAACAGTGCCACCTTCTGCCCAAAACCAAAACAACAAAAACAATACCACGTTGCCAAAGTATTGTAGGTTTTTTACCATGAAAGCTTATGCCCAAATAAATCTGTTAGTCTTTAAGGTGCTACCGGACTCTTGTTGTTTTTGTGGCTTCAGACTAACACGGCTACCCCTCTGATACTTAAAGTATTGTAGAGTACCTCCAGCTAAATATTACGATCCATTATTTGGCTACAGTGGTTTTCATAGCCCAGTCACACTACAACAGGTACTTAATTAATGCAGTAACAGAATTACTCACCACTACTGAAAATCAATAGGAGGCAGGTGGGTTGATGGTGGAAGTGGGGCTGTTGGGAAGAGTGAGGGGCTGGCTGGGTCTAGGTGAGAGGGGTTGTTAGGAGGCTGGATTTGGGAGAGGGTTCTTAGGGGGCTGGGTGGGAGTAAGATTTAAGGGGAGTTCTTAGTGGGTTGGGTGAGGGCTGGATCTAGGTGAGGTGGGTTGTTAGAGCATTAAGTTAGGGCTCTCGGAGGAGGTGGGTTGTTAGGGGGCTGGATCTAGGCGAGGTGGGTTGTTAGGGCATTGGGTGGAGGCTCTCGGAGGAGGTGGGTTGTTAGGGGGCTGGATCTAGGAGAGGTGGGTTGTTAGGGCATTGGGTGGGGGGCTCTCACAGGAGATGGATTGTTAGTGGGCTGGATCTAGGAGAGGTGGGTTGTTAGGGCATTGGGTGGGGGGCTCTCGGAGGAGGTGGGTTGTTAGGGGGCTGGATCTAGGAGAGGTGGGTTGTTAGGGCATTGGGTGGGGGGCTCTCGGAGGAGGTGGGTTGTTAGGGGGCTGGATCTAGGCGAGGTGGGTTGTTAGGGCATTGGGTGGGGGCTCTCGGAGGAGGTGGGTGGTTAGGGGGCTGGATCTAGGAGAGGTGGGTTGTTAGGGCATTGGGTGGGGGGCTCTCCGGAGGAGGTGGGTTGTTAGGGGGGCTGGATCTAGGAGAGGTGTGTTGTTGGAGGTGGGGGGCTGGATTTTAAGGGTATGTTAGGGGTAGGAGGGTGGCTCTAGGAGAGGTGGGCTGGATCGAGGACAGACAGGTTGCTGGGGCGGGTGTCGAGGGGGCGGGACCTAGAAGGAGATTGCTAGAGCGCTCGGCTTAGCAGCGGGGGTGCGCGAGTCCTCAAGTGGGCGGAGCACGGCCCGCCGGCAGGGGGTGGGACGTGGCGGGAGGCGGATTGGTAGCTGGGTGAGGGGGCGGGCATTGTGGGCGGGACTGAGGGGGGTCGCGTTGGCCTATTGGGCAGCGACCGTTGCTTATAAAGGAGCTTCCCGGCTCCACTTTCTTCAACTACCGCCAGAGGGCGGTTAGCCCTGTGTGTGGGTGGGGCGGGGGAGCGCTCTCCAGCGGGAGGGTGATTGCTGGGGTGGGGGTGTGCCCCGGCTCCTGCCCCTGGGAAGGGAAGCCTGAGTGGAATCTGGGTGGGCGGGGGCTGTCCCCCCTGTGGGGAGTCGGGGGATGCCCCTGTCCCTGAAGTAGGTTAGGGGGGTGGCCTGGGGGGAGGGAAGAAGAGGGGGTGTCTCTGGGGTGGGTAAGGGGATGGCTTGGGGAGGAGGAGGGGGGGTTCCCCTTCCCCTGGGGCAGGTTTTGGGGATGACATAAAGCTCCTCCTGATTGTTCTGATTCTCTTCCCCCCCCCCCCCACTCGCTTGCAGGCACTGCTAGGTGGAGAAAGAAAAAAAGATGGAGTGGTTCAAACTGCGCACCTATGCCCGACAGAGACAGAAGAATGTGCACTGCTCCTCCCCCGTACCAGGGGTGGCTGTATCCGTTCCCCAAGGCAGCAGAAAAGGCAGTACCCTCCAGCCCTGCCGACGCCTCTTCCAGTCCCATGCCCAAAGTAGTAACTGTTACTCCGTCTCGTCCCCTCCTCTGAGTTTCCTTTAACATTCATGGACACACACGTTAGAGGTTTAACTACCACTAAAATGTGTGATGGGCAAAAATATAGTTTGAGGTTGGGTGGGCTTATCAAGATGCTGAGGGATAACGCTATTAAGAGATGTTTACATGCCAGATCCTGGTATTGGGGAAGGGAGGGGGTTGTCTGTGTCCTCACTAGAGCCACAGTGAGGCCCCTTTGTGGTGTTCTTACAATGTAACTTGTGCAGGAGGTATTACTTGCTACCTTTCACCCTTCCCATGTTAATTAGGGGACAGTGCCTCTCTCTAGACCCAATTTGATTGTATGTGCATTTTGGAGTTTTTTGTTTAAATATAAACAATTTACTTCCAGAATAAAGGATGGCTAAACCAAGACAGTGAATGCTCTGAGTCCTGGAACCTTAACATCCCCCTTTATCCTATAATGGATTTCTTGTTCTTCAGGGTGCATTCCATGAGATAACATTACGTGCCTATAGCCAATTTTCCCTCCTGCTTGACAGATGGGATATCAAGGCATATTTCTCATCTCTCCATTCTGGGTCTTGGTTCTACATTGGGTCCAACAGTTTGGGGCTCTGATAGTTTGAGAGGTGCAAGGAGTGACCTAGATATCGGCTGTGTACATTCCCTGGCCACCACTGCTCTGTTTGTCATGTAACTTTCATGTTATGACTCTACTGCTAATAAGAAAAGGGAAAATGTAGGCCTGAGTCCTGTCAAAATATAGATGCACATTGAAGTACTGTGCTCACAAAAAAAAAAAATCAGTAAGTTATATGTTGAATAAAAATGTCTCATCTTCATCTTCCCCTAAGACAGTCCAAATGTTGTTAAACTGCTGTTGTAAATTTGTTGTAAATTTAAATTGGGATTTAAAAAGGAAAACCCGCTTGCTGGTCATGTGCTGCTGATGTATGTAACATCAAGAGTCAGTAGGCTGTAGAGAGGAAAGGGTGTCTTTGTGAGTCTGAGTATTCCAAGCAGCAAGAGGCAGTGCATTCAAGTGTGTGTTTGTGGGAAATTTATCTGACAGGTAGGAAAGCATAGTTAATAAAACTTTGCAGATGGGGAAACTGGGGATTCAGTGACTTGGTCACAAAGTGGAGGTGGACCTGGGAATAGAACTCAACAGTCTTGATTTGCTCTCTACTTTAATCAATAGCTCTTCTCGACTGATTAAAATAGTTGTTTGTTATTCATAGATGTTTCCCATGGAGGGACATAATTTATTTTCCTATGCCACCCAAGATGTGACCCTTCTTGAAACACATGACAAAACTCTTAATCACCAAGGAGAGGCACTTCAAAAACTGAATTTGTACTAATCCTCAGAAGAGTCTCCTTTGAGAATTGGCAGGTCCGGGAGTTACAGCTGGAAGGGTCTAGGGACTTTAAAAATCTGTGTATATAAACATTGACAACAGAGAGAACTTAAACTGGAGGTCTTTGTGTGAGTTGCTTAGATGGGGTGAGATCATGATTTATCAAGATCAGCTGTTTCATTTCCCACAAAAGAACTATCAAGTTTCATTCATTTGAAAAGGAGACACTCTCTTTAAAAGGCAGCTTTTAAAATAACCCTGTGATTGGTTCCTGCCTTGACCCTGTTCTGCTGGTTCCCACTCTTATTTGCAGGAGCTGTTTCCATTGGCTGAGCCACCTTGTACACTGGAGTAGGTGCTGATAGCAGTCATGGAGAAGACTTATAGAGTTAATATGCTTATAAACTGTAAACATCTACAAAAATCCAGAGGAAAGGGGCTTGGTAGGGGATGATTCTTGGTTCTTAATCCTGTCCAATCCCAAAATCCAGTGTGTCCCAGCCAGGGCCTGCTGCAGAGTGCTTTGTAGTGGTTGGTCTCCGTTCTCCTTCCCCCTTGTGAATAGGAAGAAATGGGCATGGAGGTGAAGCTTTAGACCCCTCTTTAAAATGATTAATTCATTAAGGAATATCCTTACATGTGTCTGAAAATAACATCTTACCTTGATAATTCTGAAATTATCATGTCTAATTTTTCAGGATTTATGTTGTGTTAGCTTTCTGTAATATTGTCATTCCCTCCCCCCCCAAAAAAATCCCCATATCCCCAAAATCCATTATGTAAAGCTAACTTGGTGATAAAATTGACTTATGTCAAATTGTACTGCAATGTTTGGGATGCAAGCAATGAAGAGTGGTGTTGATTTTTCTAAGTTTTCAGGATCAGGGTTGTACATAACATTATCATTAGTAACCAATCTGTGTTAAAAGACTTCTGACTTATGAATTCAGAGTTTGTAATGGGTTAGTTATTAAAATCTAGTTGGGCTCAAAACTTTTGCAAACCCCACAGAAAATGTCACTCCCAAAAATTCTTATTCTGTTTTCCTGTGAAAAGGTCACACACAGTGAGACTTATCATACTCTGAACAGCCTGCTGTATTTCTTTAAGCCAGATGGTGTGATTTGTCTCATTACATTAGTATGTGAGCAAACAAATCACCTGGGAAGAAATAGCAAGGTAGGATCCTCGTTCAGACTTTTACCCCAATATTGCAAACATATTAAAGATTGATGACTGTCTCTAAATAAGATTTTTAACTTGTCATTTGTCTTCTATGACCCTGCCCATTATAGATTAATTTGATAGTTTTGCTAATGGTAGTCTTAGTTCTAAATTTAAATATTCACTTTTCTGTAGGTGCAAAGGGAAATCCCAATGTGAAAGCCTTACCAAAAATCAACGAAAAATCTGAAGTGACCAAAACAAACAGTTCATCTGATCAGAGGTCTGCGGTAACACACATTCAAAATATACCACTATCCGTTACAATACTTCAGAACTGCTTGTGCTAAATTCATAACTGTCTGATAAATGTTGGAGATATGCTGACCAAATTCTGATAGCAGTTATCTATTGAACTATTTGACCACCATCTAAAAGGCTGGTTTTTTTTTTTAAGGACTTCCCTAGAATGAGCTCTAATTTAACTTTTAACTTTAAAAATTGTAGAATAAGCTAAATTTTAGTGTGTAATGCAAGTGCAAGCTTAGTTTTGCTGTGTTTTTTCCCCAAACTTAGTGATCAATTAAATGATGAGAAAATTACAGGTATGGAAGAAAATGAAGATATCGGGGAAAAAAGCACTATGCTGTTGAGGGTATGAACCTTTTCCACTCCACCACCCTTTACTAAATCTTAATTTTTATTGGCTGGTGCTATTTGGTGGAGGGTAAGTTGTGGGGGGGCAGAGGGAGGGGAGTACTTGTCTGCTGTGGGCTTACACAAGCATTACTCACAGAAAAGTCATTGTAAGTCACATGCATTTGTTTAGGGCTGAACTTGGCTTTATGGCTTTTTTTGAACTGTGGGTTTAGGGTGACCAGACAGCAAGTGTAAAAAATTGGGACAGGGGGTGGGGGGTAATAGGAGCCTATATTTAAAAAAAAAAAAATCGGGACATCTGGTCAACCTATGTGGGTTGCCAGAACAAAAACTGGTGTATAACTGGTAAACATGCAGAAATACTAACTAGCTGCTATCTGATCTCGGGCAAGTCATGTCATGATTCTGCCTCAGTTTCTCCATCTGCAAAACTGGGATAATACTTATCTCAAAGCACTTCACAAAGGTGTTAACAAATCAGAAGTACTACATAATAGATAGATAATGCCATTCCAGCAAAAAAAGCCACTTTTTCTACAAAATTCTTTTTAGCTCAAACACATCCTATAAACTAAGTCCCATTACTTCTGACTGTAAAATGATTATCCTCAAATGTTACTGTAAAATTTACATGTGGGTGTTCCTTATTTACTCTCCATCAATTACTTCAATACCTAGGCCCTGATCATGCAAACATTCAGCTTTATGGATGTGAGTCCCCCTGAGTTCTATAAGACTACACCTCTACCCCGATATAACGCTGTCCTTGGGAGCCAAAAAATCTTACCGCGTTTTAGGTGAAACCGCGTTATATTGAACTTGCTTTGATCCGCCGGAGTGTGCAGCTCCGCCCCCCCTCTCCCCAGAGCACTGCTTTACCGCGTTATATCTGAATTTGTGTTGTATCGGGTCACGTTATATCGGGGTAGAGGTGTACTTACGTGCATAAAGTTACTTGTGTGTGTTTTACAGCATCAACATGTTTGTGCAAATCAGTTTTACTTGTAAGCAAAAGTCAACTAGAAGGTGTGTAAAAAGCAACAGAGTCCTGTGGCATCTTCTAGACTAACAGATGTATTGAAGCATAAGCTTTCGTGGGGTGAATACCCACTTTGTCAGACGCGAGTCCTGTGGCACCTTCTAGACTAACATGTATTGGAGCATAAGCTTTCGTGGGTGAATACCCACTTCGTCAGACACATGCGTCTGACAAAGTGGGTATTCACCCCACGAAAGCTTATGCTCCAATACATCTGTTAGTCTAGAAAGTGCCACAGGACTCTTAGTCTGGATCTGTAAAAAGCAACAAACACGGCTACCCCTCTGATACTAGAAGGTGTGTGTTTTGTTTGTTCTCTTGCTTCATATATTTGCACTTCTTGCTTACGTAGAAATTTCCTTGATTGCAGAAGGCCTTCAATGGAAATTATATCCACGCAAAAAATTAGGATAAAACCAACTTTTACGAACAGTAGATTCAGAACAATAAGTCGGATAGCAATTTTCCTAATGATGCATGAAAAACTGTAGGATACAACTATATTGGCTATTTTGCACTGGCAGGTTTAATTGTCAGTAAACCTAAGAGACAAATTTATTGCAAGAAAATCATTCTCAAAGCTTTTCTTTTGAATCCTTGATAACGTAAGAACAAATCTGATTACATCTCTTGATCTAGATTTGTGACTATTTTCATCTGTGTCTTCCCTTGTTAATTTTAGGAATCTCTGCATATCAGCTCTGAAAGTAAAGAAAGTTTGAGAAACAGTGAGACTACTTCAGGTGAGTACATTTTAGGCTATCAATATATAGAATACATACAACTTTAAAAATTGGAATTAAAGGACAGTTCTATAAATATTGCTATTACAGTACAACTTAGATTTCATTTGTGCATTATTCCTGTACTAGTTCAGACTGCCCTACATTCAGAAAGTAGGGATGCCGATGAATCAGTTAACTCACACGATTAATTTAAAAAAATTAATCGCAGCTTTAATTGCACTGTTAAACAATAGAATACCAATTGAAATTTATTAAATATTTTTGGCTGTTTTTCTAGAGTTTCAAATATATTGATTTCAGTTATAACACAGAATACAAGTGTTGTATTATATTTTATTACAAATATTTGCACTGTAAAAATGATAAAAGAAAGTATTTTTCAATTCACCTCATACAAGTATCATAATGCAATCTCTTTATCGTGAAAGTGCAACTTACAAATGTAGATTTTTGTTGTTGTTCTATAACTGCACTCAAAACAAAACTATGTAAAACTTCAGAGCCTACAAGTCCACTCAGTCCTGCTTCTTATTCAACCAATTGCTAAGACAAACAAGTTTGTTTACATTTACAGGAGATAATGCTGCCCGCTTCTTGTTTACAACGTCACCTGAAAGTAAGAACAGGCACTGGACAAGTTTAGCACAAGTAGTTAACACATTTCTATCTGTTTGCTCTTGTATTTAGCTGTGAGGGGCTTGAGAACCTTTTCCAGACCTGACAAAGAGCTCTGTATAACCTTGAAAGATTGTCTTTCATCAACAGAAGGTGGCCCAATAAGATATTTTCCTCACCCACCTTGTCTCTTGAATATCCAGAGTCTGACATAGCTACAGCACTGCATATTACATTCAGAAAGTACATGCTGTTTGAATCCAGGTTGGGTTTCTACTTCTGTTGATTCCAACACGTGTTTAGTCAACTTTTTGTTACAAAGTACTTCTGAGTGGCTAATGTATTTTACCTTCATTTATGAACAGGACTCTCCTTACAAAATCTTCAACACTTCTCAGAAAAGCCCTCTTTCTCTGTATTCTTAACTTTCCAGGAGCATATAGGAATGTAGTCCTAATGGTTATGGTTTGGCATTTTAATGATAGTTATTACTTGGCCTCTTAAGATTGGCTGTAGTTATCTGAGGTTTAGGTGGAAGAGAGGTCTACCCTCATCTATTTTGTCTAATTTTTCCCTAATCTTTCCAGTTGCAATCTTCAGTTCAGTTATACCTCTAGTGTAGTCAAGTGTCCCAGACAACAGTACGATGAGAGACAAACCTAAAGTGATAGAATTCTAACCCTCGAACTTGAATAATGCCTTTCGGTGAGTCTCTAAGTGTACTGAGGAAGGCCAACTGAATATAACAGGATGTTCTAAGCAGGTAGCCATTATGCTGTACTCAGAGGCCATGCTAGCCCATTGGGGTCCCTGCGCAGGAATATTTTTTATCCCCCCCATACATAATAGGGGGCTTCCTTGAGCTGCCTGGGGCCCTAAAAGCAATTGCTTAGTCTGCTTATGCCTAGCGCCAGCTCTGGCTATACCCAAGGGAATGGAGTCTCTTGTGTAACTAGCTTACGTCTGGGAGTTAATTTATATAGAGGGGTTTTTAGGTGGATAATTGATAACATATTTAAGCTCTGTGCCAGTCTCCAAAATATGTCACTGGGAGGATTACCTAGCTACTCTAATAGATCGGTGTCCTTTGTCTAGAAGAACAGTTTTGAGTGATGGCCTGTTAATCAGGGCTATCCCAACTCTATTGAAAAGTACCATGGGATATTCAGATTCTACCTAGACTTCCATTAGACCCCTGCCAGAAGGTATCTACTATAGATTTAGTATCTTATTTAAAGAACAGTATATATGACTACACCGGGAGCACTGCTGCGGTGTGAGCTTGTATAAGAGTTCCCTTTAAGTTGACCCTAACCTACAGGCTCTTTCTCTGGATGAATGTTGCATGAAAAGAGTTTGAGACACCTACTTCCCTTAAAGAATAAAGATTGTTTCTAGGCTTACAACATAAGCCAGGTTTCAGTTTGCACTTTTTTGTGTTAAAATTTTTTTTTTTTAAAACTACCCATAATAATTGAAGATATTTAGCTCATTGCAGGATCAGAACTTATACCCTTACCTGATAGTCCATTGGCAATATTTCAACCATTTTTTCCTCTTAAATTACAGGAATGACTCTGCCTACAGGTGTCTCTACCTTTCTACTGCACTGTTTGGACATGGATTCCAGTACAGAGTCTACTGATAGCATGAACAGTTGCCCATCACCTGAAATATTCAGGGATGAAGACAGTTTAGGTAAAACTTAATTTTCAAATTGTATTTTCAGCCTGATGTAGAAAGATATGATGGGTGTAGAAAGACACATAGATATAATTAATTATACTATTGTATATGAATATTTCGCTCATTGGGTCAGAGCTCAGGATTGAGCCAGGCGGTGCTCATTGCAGGATCTACAGGGGCTTGATCCTCCAATCTAGGGGCTGACTGGCCGTATGCATAATTTGAAGTAGTTTTAAAGGCTGTCAGAAATGGTTCCTTGGGGGCTTTAGTACTAGCTGGAGATAGCTGAGCACAGCATGCTATGGCCACATCCCCATCCTCTCCCAAAATGTGTCTGGATAGGGTGGCCTGAGCAATGCACAGTAATTAGAATAGGGTCAGGATCTAGCCCAGTGACTTAATCAGCTTTCTTTTAAAGTTCATAAAGCTTAATTAGGGACTAAAACAGGTAAAGTTAGCATTTTAAAAAAAATCAAAGGGAAAGATATTTTGAACTTGTATACAATAGAAAAACATATGCAACAAAACTTTACTTTTCTATGTATATGTACTCATTTAAAGATGTCCACTCTGACAGGTGACAGCATAGGATAGCAAAATAAAGACACTGAACATTTAAACATGGAGCACAATGTAAATGCTGAAAGATCCCCCTAGTTCTGGTGCATCCCATTCCCTATATCATAGACACTGCGTGTTGCCTTGATGCGCAAAAAAATCTGTTAGACTATTAATCACACTTGGTATTCACTATCTAGTTAAAGACTCATTCTGCCTTCCCAAAGACCATAGCTTTAAATGGTCAAAAGTCTGATCTTTGTTTTGTGAGCACAAATCCATGTTGTTCAAGTGCTATTGGCCAGAATAAGCCTACAGATTATGCCTTTTGACAGTGTAGGCCTAATGTTTTAAATGCTTTGAGATCCTGAGTTAAAATTTGCATTTGCAGTGTACACTGACCTACTATATTGCATCAGAGAGATTTCAGCTGTTCTTATATAAAAAAAAACACAAAAAGGAAATTATGGGTTTTTGCTTCTGCAAGGTATGTAGGGAAGCGATTGGCTGCAACAGCTGGCAGAGGACCTCACAATGCTCCCTATCTACTTGAGTGTATGCCATCCTAAATGAGGGACTTAGTTTACAAACATCACAGGTCTACATTATAGACTAAATTTGGTAACAGAATTAACTACAGAGTGAAAGGCAACTTCCAACTGTATCTTCTGTGTTCAGACAGAAATAATTCCAATCCTGAGGAGTATCTCAAATATAAGAATTCTACTCTCCTGGACACCAGCAAAGCAGTGACCATAGATAAGATGCCACAGCTTTCAAATCTTTCAGAGATATTGGGTAACTGCTTTTTATATTAAATTATTTCAAATGCTTATTTCACTTAATTTAAAACTAGATAGAGTTCACTCTAGAAAGATCCTGTAAGTCTCTTTGCTTTAGTTAATTCATTGGAAAGGCCCTTCTGCATTGTAGTGAATAGCACCTCAAGTTTAATGTTAATGTTTATAATACACTTTATATAAATATTAATATGCAGTAGGATATCCTCTACCTTTCATAGCTATTTTTAAATTTAAACTTTCTTGTCTTTTAGAGCCCATATCAGAGGGTCATCAAGACCAAAACATTGGGAGGTAATCTGTAAAGCAGAGAATTTGACTTAATTTTTAATAATAAACCTACAAAACACACATGTATCCTTATTTTGTCCCGTACATGCAAATTAATGTCCTGATGTGCAAATATTTGTGCCCCTGCTTGATTTCACTCTGAGCAGCCCCAATGGCTTAAGCGGGACTGATCAATTAAGATAAGTGGGTAAGTAAGTGTTTGCAGGGTTGAGACAAATGTCTACTAAAACAAGCTACCTTCTTGGATTTTAATTGACTCCACTACACACTACTTGTATTTTTCTATGGTCTTCTGGATATATTTCACTACATAGTATTTGATTTCAGTGACTTTTTTGCTTTCTGTGGTCTTTAAAACTATGAAGGGATTTTATAATTTAATCTTGATTTGATAAACTAAGTATTTGACTCATTTGATCAGCTGTTTTGTCTGAAAAATTACATTAGAAAAATGTAATTGAACTCCTAAGCTTTTTTGATGAAAATGAAGAGGAAAGTTTAGTTATCTGTATGATTAGTTTTCTGTAAATATTTTGCTGTCTACATTTTAAGATACTTATAACAGAATTTCAATTTGTTATCAGAGAGTCACCATCAAAATGCATTAAAGATTCTTCTGACTTGATGAGTGTTTCAACAGTTGTAGCAGGTAAAATATGGCCTAAAATAGTTGTACTACTTGCAAATTAGTTGTCTATTAGATTTTTCTTTTATTCCACTTCAAACTTATTTGGATTCTGCTACCAGTTACGCTGATTCCCAAAAAGCAACAGAGGGTTCTGTGGCAAAGGTGCCACAGGAACCTCTGTTGCTTTTTACAGATTAAGACTAACACGACTACCCCTGTGAAACTTGACTGATTCCCAAAGAATTCTGTCTTACTAGATCCTCTCTAACCTAGTGACAGCCTAGCCCTCTACCGTGCAAAAAACCAATAAGGAACGTTGCTATTCAAGACAGCAAGTCTTGTTAGCACAGTTAATTGGATAACTGCTTACTTTAATCTGCCACCTAATCTTCTCTGCCGGTGACTTCAGTGTGGTTTGAGAGATCTCAGCACGCAGGAAGGATTATTTTAGGGAATATAGAGACTCTGAATGAATGTACTGGAAGGAAAGGGCTCACAAGAGCTAATATTGGTGGGGAAAGGGGTTTGACTTATTGGTCTTATTGGCAGGGGGGTAGGTGAGAAGCAGTTCCTTGCTTTTATTTTTGACTGTATTTAACTTCTGGCAGAGACAAGTAACACTGAGGTTAAATGCTTTAAAAAAAAATCTAAAATAATTACACCTCTACCCCGATATAATGCTTACCTCGGGAGACAAAAAAATCTTACCGCATTATAGGTGAAACCGCATTATATCGAACTTCCTTTGATCCACCGGAGTGCACAGTCCCGTTTCTCTCTTCTCCTCCCTCCTCCCCCTCCGCCCCCGGAGCGCTGCTTTTCCGCATTGTATCCGAATTGTGTTATATAGGCTTGTGTTATATCGGGGTAGAGGTGTATATAGTTCTTAAATTTCAGAAAAGAAGCTATGAAGGGCTATTAACAGTAAAATTTTGTTTTTAATAGACCCAATAGACTTTAAGATTAGAAGGGACCATCATGATCACCTAGTCTGACAGTCTGCACATTGCAGACCACAGAACCTCACCCATCCGCCCCTGTAATAGACCCATAACCTCTGGTTGAGTTACTGACGTCCTCAATCCTGATTTAAAGACTTTGAATTATAGAAAATCCACCATTTACACTACTTTAAATTTGCAAGTGACCAGTGCCCCATGCTGCAGAGGAAGGTGACCCCACACCTGGGTCTCTGCCAATCTGACCCAGGAGAAAATTCTTCCTGACCCCAAATATGGCAGTCAGTTAGACCCTGAGCATGTGGGCAAGACGCCCAGCCAGACACCTGGGAAAGAATTCTCTGTAGTAACTCAGAGCCCTTCCCATCTGGTGTCCCATCACTGGCCATTGACAATTATTTGCTGCTAGCAAATCTCTTGCTATCTATAAGCAAAACCATAGAAACTTCCATTATCTTTTATATGAAACTTACAGCCTAGGTCTCCCTATTAGAGCCAGGCTTGTGCCTGACCCATTATCTCTCTCAAAGCCTGAGCTTTGCTATGAGCAGGAGGGGGAAGGGAACCTGTTTGTTAAAACCCCTTCCGTAAAGAGAACTCTATTTCATCCAGAACACCCAGGCAACTGTTATGGGAAACCAAACCCCCTCTGAATACCAGTTAATCACATAGTGTCCAATGAAAAAGGCAATTTCTTACCTTTCCCCTATGGATAAAAAATTTAAAAAGTTTAATTTAGCCAGGTACAGGACTGCTAAGTCTTTTATATTTTGAGAGTCCTGTTTTTTTATTTTGTTTGTGGTATTTGAAGGTGAAGGCTCCTATTAATATAATGAGTGGCTCCTGATAGCTCAAATTCTGAATGAATTCCAACTAATTTTGCAGTTTTGACCATGGTCCAAAAAACTGCTTAATTTGGGCTGAAAATAGCAGCACAGGCAGACCCCATCAGAGGCTGCTTCCTGACTTATACAGTGTTTGCTCCCTGCTCTGTGGTTTGTGTGCAGAGCTGGACAGCAGCAGAGGGAGCAGTAGGGAGACAGGCGAGGAGGAAAAGCATTCTAAACTTCTCCCACCAAGCACTGAACCAGGAATAGAGCAAAATCAGGGAGCAAGAGAAGCAAACTCTGCATATGGATTTTGTGGCATGATCTCTGATTCTCTCTTTCAAGGGATAATTTACAATGTAGGGATGGAGAGCATCTATGCTCCTTTTCTCCAATAAAAACATTGTTTTCATCATAGGAAAACAAGTGTGTAGATTTGTGTCTACTATGGAAAAAACTCCGGATATAAAAATCAGTACATTCTCTTCATTACCTGCAAGACCAAAGAGACAGGTGAGGGTTTTAATGATTAATGTACCTTGTTGTAATTTGAGCACCCAGATATCACTAGGAGAACTAAAAAAGGTGTAATATCTTGACAGAGGCCATGTTTCCTAAATGTTTTTGAAGGCAATTATTTTAGCAGGTCTTTGGAAATGGTAAGTGTAAAGAACCTGGGAGATAGTTGTATCTTTTAGGTGTTCTACCTTGCTGACTGTTACATGGGTGCAAAGAGTTAATTCAATCCTGGGTGATTTTTGCACAACTGCAAGAATTCAAAGACAATGACATTAGACAACCCTGATTACTAGTGCTTAACTGACAATACAGGTGTAAAAACCTTTTGTTGTTCGTTGTCCCTATCCAAAGGAGGCATCTCTATCTTGGGACAGAGTGAGGGCTTTTCAGGCAAGAAACCGTAAAGAAAGTGGACACTGTTAAAAGCCTCAGCCCTGAAGCTGAGAGGCAGAGACAGTCTGCAGAGAGACTGTAAACTGGCTTCCAGAAGAAGGGGGAGCAGGTAGGGATAAGTAGGCCTACCCAAATTTGAGGGAAATTTTAAGCTTAGATAAGGCAATAAGGCATGTAGATATCTTGTTTTAACCCCTTTCACTGTGATTGCTATGTTCCTATGGATAAATAATGCTCGGCTTTGACGAAACTGTTCCATGTCACTGCATGTACCTACTACTCACAGCTCCCACAGGGAAGTCTATAGCAGAGTCCAAGCCCAGTTGGACCTGCTGAGGAAACATGGTTGGTAAACGGGAGTTGTAAGCAGATGACTCAACCTAAAGATCATGGGATTCCACTCTGAGAGTAGTGTAGGCACTGGGCCTGTCACTTAAAAAGGGTGCCCATGGAGGGGTCACTCTGGAACCGTGGCAGTAAGTAATACTAGATTTGTGTGCATTATGAGGCAGGGAGTGTGCGTGTGCAGTATCTAGTGCAACAGAACCCGTAGCCCTGATTGGATGGCTAGGTGCTACTGTGTATGTTGATCAGTTTAACTGTGCCTAATAACTTACTAGACCTAGGAGTGTGGTGTACGGCAATGATCTGACTCTCAAGAATCGATGTATTATTGTGCTATCCTTTTGTCTGGCACTTAAGAGGCTGACAATGGGGGTTCATTTTATAATATGAAGTATAATCGTTCATCTCATTATAGCTTGATAACCAAACTGCTAATCCTAAAAACATGAAGGGCCGAAAAAAAGTAAAATTCAGCAGCCTGTTAAAGAGTGACACATCTTCATGCCATCAGCATGTATCTCCTGCAGAATGTATTTCAACTAAATCATATGAGTTGACAGCAGAAGTGCTGCCATCCAAACAACGAGACATTGAGATGGTAAGCATTTCTACTGTGCTGTTTACCCATGGAGGCTTAAAATGAGAAGAGCTCCCACAGATAAGTGAGAATTCCACTGGGCAACGATGGAAGCTGTGAAGATTGATACAAAGCTACAATCTCAAAATGACAAGTACTGTATTATCAGGCAAATGGAGTATATATTCACTTTGAAGCAGTGAAAGTTAGGCTTACGTTTACAGAGACAATAGTCTGTTTTCAGCCTTCCTTGTGCACCCAGAACTCTCACTGAAACGTAAGTGTCCTGAGTGCACAAGGCATTCAGGATCAGGCTCTATATTGCTGAAAATGAATCTGGTTAGTGCAGGTTATACTCATTGGTCTTGTGTATACTAAGCTTCTGGTTGGTTAACGTCTCCATTCTTTCATTACCAGTGGACTGAGTGCTAGTGTAGAACATCAAGTGGCATCTTCACCACCCGCTCTGAGTAGTGTTAGAGTATGTAGTAAAGATGCCAGCAGCTGGTCTATACTAGTGCTTTGATCATTGGTAGTGCAACAGTTAGGAATTCTAACAAAAAGCTTGGTCTAGACCAGTGGTGGGCAACCTTCGGCCATTTCTTTACATTGACCATCCGCAGGCACAGCCGTCTGCAGCTCCCAGTGGCCGCAGTTTGCTGTTCCCAGCCAATGGGAGCTGTGGGAAGACCTGTTGTATGGCCTTGAGGATTGTATGTCTGGTACAGCAACAGAAATTAGGGTGGAATTCAATGGGAGCAGAGTTAGGCCAGTGCTGTGATGCTTTGGAACAAATCAGATCTGCTGCATGCAACATGTCTGTCTCAGACACTATAAGTAAGGCTAAGATTATGTCATGAATATGTCTGTGACTTCCAGCGACCTCTGTGACTTTGGGGGCCCCGCAACTAACCAGCCTCCGCAAGCGGCAGGGGACCCTCCTGCAACTGGCCAGCTGCCACCACTGCCAGTGACCCCTGAGCTGCCAAGCTACCGCTGCTGGCAGGGGTCACCACCGCTGGCAACCAGGGCCCCACCGCAGCTCCCAGTTACCAGCAGTGGCAGCAGACAGACCCCAGAGCTGCTCAGCGGCCGTGGGCTCCATGCAGCTCCCAGACACTTTTTCATGGCTTTTGAAAAGAAATAGGCAAAAAACTGCATAAAATCATTTAAGTGTAGGACTGGAAGGTACCTCAGTATGTCCTCTAATACAGTTCTCTGCACTCAAGGCAGGATTAAGTAATAATTAGACCATTCCTGACAGCTGTTTGTCTAACCTATTCTTAAACATCTCCAATGATGGAGATTCCATAACCTCTCCAGGCAATTTGTTCCAGTGCTTAACTATCCTGACTTTTACGAAGTTTTTCCTAAAGTCTAACCTAAACTTAAACTTAAACTTCTTCTTCTTCCCTTGCTGCAATTTAAGCCTATTGCTTCTTGTCCTGTCCTATCAGAGGTTATGGAGAACAATTTTTCACCCTCCTCTTTGTTACAATCTTTCACGTACTTAAAACTGTTATGTCCCCCTCCCCGAGTCGTCTCTTCTCCATGTTAAACAAACCCATTTTTTTCAAACTTTCCTCAGTTCCTACTTTCACTGTTAGATGTCTGATCACTACTAACCTTTTTGGTGAAAACTGAAACAAAAAAAGTTGTTAGCACTTCCACCATTTCTATATTTTTCTGTTATCTTTCCCCCTTTTCTTCATACTGAGTTTGAGTCACAAAACAAAGTATGTGGGGGGGGGGGGAGGGAGACCCTAAAAATGACTTAACATCAGCCTCGGGCCTCCAAATGCTGGTTTTTGGATCACTTTGTATGTTGTATGCTTCCTCTTTCTTGTTCAGCATGTTTAGGCTTTTCCAACTATTAAATTCCAAAACAAACCAGAATCAGGCTTTCTGAATTATGCCTCACTCAAAACTGAAAGCCTGAATAATACATGTTCAGAGGACTTTTCACCCTCCGCAGTAAGTGGCTGCAGAATTCATATGAAGTGGAATTCATGTGGCTGCAGAAAATCAAAATAAGTCACAAGTCTGAATTTTTAAAAATGATTAGATTCTCTCAAGGGCAAATACATGAAACTAAATTAATTCTGAAATTTGTGGGTGGATATGAAGTGGGTGGAGTGCTTTGGCGACAAAACTAGTTGGTGTCACTGACAACTAGTACCTTCTATCTTGTTTCCTAATTCAGAATGATTTGGAGAATCCAGGGAAGAGAGAGAACTCTTATCAGAACACTAGCCAGGGAAGAAGTGTCTAATCTATCCATTGACCGTGGGGTTGAGGAGTAAACTCTCGTCCCTTTATGCTGCAGTAAACTGATTCCATGCCTTCATTTAAAGAATACAAGAACAAAAGTAACATGAATGTAGGATGAACTGTAACTTGTCTTTACCTTTTAGATCAGTTTCTTAGAATTTTAATAGAATCCCAGAATGTGCCATTTTGTACAAAGGGAATAGAATAGGACCCCAAATTACTAATGAAGGAAATTGCCAAGAGTATTTTTGATGTTTACATGCTCTATTGTATTTCTAAACAGGAAATGAATTCTAAAGTATTGATCACAGAAAAAAATAGACAATTGCTAACAAGCACAGCATACTTTCAGCCAGAAGAATTAGAGGTGAGATGAATATACAAAACACTACTGGGTACTATTCTTTTTTTTTTTTAATATGGTAAAACAGTTGAAAGTGTTAAAGTTGATGGTTAATCTTTTTTTATAAATCAGGATTGTTTAGGAATAAAGTAGATGTACAATTTGTATGCCTCACTTATGCATGCAATTACCTGATTTGTGACACATTTTTAAGTTACAAACAATTGTGCAGCAAATCCAGTCAACTGTATGTTTCTTAGCATACCTACTTGTTAAAATTTAATGTTTGATTTTTAAAATTATTTTATATAGTTAAATGAACACCTTACAGCAGGGGTCGGCAACCTTTCAGAAGTGGTGTGCCGAGTCTTCATTTATTCACTCTATTTTAAGGTTTTGCATGCCAGTAATACATTTTAACGTTTTTAGAAGGTCTCTTTCTATAAGTCTATAATATATCACTAAACTATTGTTGCATGTAAAGTAAATAAGGTTTTTAAAATGTTTAAGAAGCTTCATTTAAAATTAAATTAAAATGCAGAGCCCCCCGGACCAGTGGCCAGGACCCGGGCAGTGTGAGTGCCACTGAAAATCAGCTCGCATGCCGCCTTTGGTACATGTGCTATAGGATGCCTACCCCTGCCTTACAGCTTTATTTGCACCAATATATTATTTCAAAAATGTTTGTTGAAAACAAATGCCACCCATATTTAAATTGCATTTTTAAAACCTTTAATTCCTTAGATTAATGCATTAGTTTTTATCTTTGTGCAGGACACATGAGAAGAATTGAGACATAAACTGCACAGTTTTAGAGAGATGCTCCTTCAATAGGAAGACTCCATAATATGGAACCAAATTATTCAGAAGGAAGATGTACTGGCTCTCTCCAGTATTGTGTTGCTATAATAATGCAGCAAGCTTTTTCTGCTGAACCTGCTTTAGAAACTCAAATGTATTAACCCTAACAAGCCGTGTGAGAGACGTATTAACGTTATTCCCATTTTACACACAAGGATACTAAATCAGAGCATAGAGATAGGTCTACACTGCAGCTGGGAGGGAGATTCCCAGCCCTGATACAGACTCATGCTAGCACAAGAGGATGTTGTGGCACTGGCTGAGGCTTGGGCTAGCCGCCTGCACTCAGACCCAAGGGATTGGGTGGGTTTGAGCTCAGGAGGCTAGCCAGAGCTTCTGCCAATGCCACAACATCCACACTGTTTTTAGTGCACTACCATGAGCCCCTCTATTGCAAGTCTGTCTGCCTGCCAGGACTGGGAGACTCCTTTCCCAGCTGCAGTGTAGACATATCACAAATGATTTGCCCAAGGCCACAATGACTCTTCGGTGATTTGGGAGTTTGAGATTCCTAATCCTATTCTCTCAGCACAGGCCATCTCTCACTTAGGTGCTAGCCCATTTGAATTCAGTTTTGTTTATTACCTTACCAGTAAATCAGCCGAATTTTAAGTACCTATTACTGATCTTGCTTATATTTTGGTTGAGGTGTAGTTTAACTTGTCACCAGTGCACAAGGCCTCTTTTGGTGAAGACTTATTCCTAAATTCAACGGGTCCATATGTAAACTCAGAAGAAATTGCTCCTGCATCTTTGAGTTCAGAAGAAAAAACTATTTATCAGGTTGTAATCTTGATGTGTATATATATTTTTAATTTTTAGCCCTGGTCTAATAGTTTCATGATAGAATGTGTTCGAGTATTACAATATTACACAGTTGAATTAGAACTTAATGATAGAAATATTTAAATGCTTGACTTTAAGTGTCTCGAATTTTTTGAGAACTGTTGCTATAGTATTTCATTAAATGTAAGAGTAATCTTAGTTTAATATTCTGTAGTAATATCCCTTGATATCTCTAATCTCTAATGGCTCAATTCCTCCCTCTTTGTACAAACTCCTACTGATATCAAGAACTTCCCTTAAAGAAGGTATATGAGAAGATCACTTACATGTCAATAGCTGTTATATAATTGGAGTTGCTTCACTCTTCTTTTCAGTCTCTGCATAACAAAGAAACACAAAACAAGAAATCAGATACAAAAAACAAAGAAATCTGCTCGATTATTAAAACTTCACCAGGGCTTAGGGTCTCCATGGTTCACCGAACTCCAGTAAACAGAAACACATTGCATCCCCCTGAAGGAATACCTGAAGGTAACGGAATATAGAAAATTTTCATATGTAAATGATAAATACTTGCTTGAGTGTGGGAGGGTTTTTTTTTTTTAAAGAAAACTACACCTCCCCCCACATCTGAGAGATGGAAAAATTATAATAAAGTGGTGCAACAGTGAAGCATTGACATTCTCCATAAGATTCATTTGGGAAGCTCAATAAAATGACACAGCTTTCCTCTTCGAAACACCTTTCACACCTGTGTAGTGAAATCGCTGTGCATTATAGGTGCACAAGGACAGGAGAGGGTTCAAGAAATCTCCCCATACTCTAACTGGACCCAACCCTCCATGTAAGAGCCACAGAAAGTTGCAGTTTCTGCATTTGTTTGTCCACAGAGATTACATGTGTCCTCATGGATACTTTACACCCCAAAACGGACAGGAAGGAGGCATTAAAATTAGACTTACACAACTTATCAAGGTATTGGTCCTCTACCACAGCTTTGCTCTTCCACTGATAAGCCTCACTTACCCACCTTTCTGATGCTTCAAGTACCTCTGTACTTTGGGCCCATGCTGCCCTATGGTTGGGAATAAAACTCCATGTCAATATTTATGAAGCCGCCACCATATCTTTTCTAAATCCTTCCTTAAAACCCATGTTTGCCATGATGTTTACAAATCATACTCTGGCATTGGTTAGGCTAGTGGCCAGCTGAGGCTTTTAGTTTTCTGCTAAACTCTGCCCACTTTGTTGCATCTTCCTCCTCCATCCCATTTGTCATCTTGTATCTTGTCGAACACATAGACCATAAACTCTCTAGTGTAGGAACAGTTGTCTGTACTCTGTATGGTTCTTAGGCCCTGATCCAAGATTGGGGTTCCTAGGTGCTACCTTTAATTCAAATAGTAATATCTCTTACAGGCATATTGTTCTGAAGATTTAAATCTGGTACTTCAGCTGCTTAATTTAATAATCTATTCAACACCCTATCTCACAAAATATGTTTTGACACAAAAATACCATAAGCATGAACTTTAGAGAATTGTGAAGATATTTATGTCGCGCAATGAGTATTTGGAAGCACTCAGTTTTGTCTGGTCTATCTTCTAAGGTGTGATAAGATCATTGGGACCCCACACATGTTCCTTTTACCTTCTTTAGAAATTACAATGAAAGTTCTTTTTAAAAATATATTTGAGTTTAAGTAACTTAAGTCATAGCTTATTTGTACCTAATTATTATATTTCAGTGTTTGCATTTTATCTTACAGCCAGAAGGAACCATTAGACTATCTAATCTGATTTCCTATATATCACAAGAAGTTGTATTTCACTCAGTGTATTGAGCACTATAACTTGTTTGAATAAATCAGATCTTCCAGAAAGGCATCCAGTCTTGATTTTGAAGACTTTTAAGAGATGGAGCATTCATCACTTCCCTTGATAGTTTATTCCAACGGTTAATTGCCCTCCCTGTTAAAAATTTGTGCTTTATCTCTCATTTGAATTTGTCTGGCTTCAGCTTTCAGACACTGGTTCTTGTTTTGCCTTTTCCCTGCTAGATTAGTGCTCTTAAATAACTTATTTTCTCACCATGAAGGTACTTATACACTGTAATCAAGTCACCTCTCAGTATTTTTTCTGATAGGATGAATAATTTCCCCCTCTATGGCATTTTCTCCAGCCCACAAACAATTTTTGTGGCTCCCTTCCCTATTTTTCAACATCCTGTTTAAAACATGAACACCAGAACTGGATGTAGTATTCTAGTATTGGTCTCACTAATACTGTAAACTTTTCATTTGCAGATTTCTTGGCATGCCCCTGGATGGCATGTCTCTACTTAGTAGTTAAGTTTAAACTCATTCTTCTAGTTTTAAGAATGTTATTTCTTTCAAGCACTTTTTCAGAAAAACTAATTACAGCTAGTTGGCCATTTGGACTATGGCATTATTTAGCTTCAACCCAGAGACGAGACACTAGCACAAAATGGCTCATGGAAGTTTTTAAATGCAAAAAATTATATTGTTTATATTTTACCATGTTACAAGAATACATAGATCATCTCTAGAACATAGGCTAAGTGCTTTTAAAAATGTGTCAAAATTATCAATAGCTACTCCTCTGTATAGATATAGGAGTATAGAGACAAGGGAGTGTTCTCTTTTCATCTTGTGCACAATGGCATTAGGAATATGCAGAACCTATTCCAAAATAACTGGTAGTAAGTAACTAAAATAAACATTGGTTCAGAAATAATGGGACACTTGTAAAACATAATGTGATCCAATTCTAAATCAAGATGTACAAGTATTTATAAAGCATTACGAACTGTTTAGTCATATGAGCAGTAGGGGAATTCTGAGCTTCTTTGCTGTTCTAGTTTTTTGAGCTTTTTCTCATAGTAGAAACATTAGCAAGATAGTAGGCTGGGTTTGCATGTAGCCTTTAGCTTGAAATCTGAAATCAAATTCTGATCAGGTCACAAGTAGACTCGTGAAATCTTTTAAAAAATATCCACCGTCCATTATAAACTGACAGACACTTCCTTGGGGGGAGGTGGTAGAAATTAGTAGTTCTTAGCTATCTTCCAGTGGGCTTGATCCTGCAATGGACTGAGCACTCTGGCCCTAGCCCAGCAAAGACATGCTTCCCGTCAAGCATAAGAATATTCCCACTGAAGTTAAGGCATTAAGCATATGCTTAAAATTAACCATATGTGACTAATTGCACTGATTTCAATGGAAATATGCTTGTTTAAAATTAAGCATGTGCCTAAATTTTCCTGGATTGGGGTCAGTGTGTTCAGTATCTTGTAGAATTGAGCCTCATATGTACATTTCCCATAATACCCTACTTTCCGTGAACAGATTATTACGTTTTTTCATATTGTAGCTCTGGCATGTTATAGCTCTGTTGAAATGTTTCAAATTATAAACACTACATTAGAAAACTCGTCTTTTTTTTTTTTTTGCGACTCTGTATATAAGACTTGGAGAACTGAATGTTTAAACCTAGGTTCTCAAAAGTACTGAGCACTTAACAGCTCCTATTAACTTAAAAGTTTTAGAGACTGATATTTAACTTTACGTAATTGTTACATTTAATGCATTAAGTGAAACTAATATTTACTAAAAACTTACACTATTGGTATTTAATCTGTCAAATTTCTAATAGCTGTACAAAAATGTTTAAATCCTATTGGGTTTTGTTCCTCTTTCTGCATACATTTTCCACTTCCCCTCTCTATATACTGTCTACTTCCACTTCATCTATTTCTGTGACCCTCCTTCACCCCCCTTTAAATTTCACTTGTGGAGGATCTGATCATAGTTCTGTAGAGTAGATGTCAATTCATTTGGGGTATTCTGTGTACAAATGGCTCCAGGTTCAGGCCTCTGGTAAGTATGTAAAAGGCAAACTTAAGGTATTAAACTCAAAATAATGTTAGCTTGCTGCAAGCATGTCTTTTCAAGCTTTTGTCTTGTTAAGCTATCAGAAACATGGATACACCTAAAGAATTCCTAGGACCATATCCTGAAATTCATTTCCATGTAACTGTCATGCACATACGTTTCTGCATGTACTGGCAATCACTGAGAAATACTTATTGTATGTAGGCTGTAGCCACTTACTAATAAGAGCAGGATCAGGACAGTATTTTTGATCTCTAACTTTTAGGGAAAATATGTCTGCAGAACAAATAGCTGCACAAATTTTAAATACTGTTATCCTGAGGGTCACCAGATGGCGCAGTTGCACATAGTCTTACAAGGTCTCATTATTAGTGAGAGTACCGTTCTTTCTCTGAAGAAATACTTTTTGACATTTCTTTTTAGAGGAGTCGTGGCAAGAGGTAAGAGTTTGCTCTGTTCCTTAATCTTTCTAACTAATCAGCTCTTGAAACAGTAGCTTCCTGGGAAGCTGCTTTGGCTGAGATTTTTAAAAGGGGGATTGCCTGCATGCTGTTTGTGACCACCTCTGTCAAGGGCTGGGGTATATAATGCAAAATAAACAAGTTGTATTAAGGATATACCCAAACTTTGCATTGCCGATTTCTCCTCTAACAGGAAGCTGACCTGTAAGGTACCTGCTACCACTCAGCAGGGGGCTCACTATACATGCCAGTTATGCCACAGACTAACTAAAGAATTTGTTGGACTGATATATTTTAGAGAGGGATAATTTACACACACAATAACTTATTTTTACCCTTACATTATTTTTCAGATGTTATTACAAGTACCAAAAACTGGGTCTACAGTGACCAGGGATGAGCTCTTTGGTTTTCTTCAGGAGTCAAATGAAAGAATTAAAAGTCCCACTGTAAGGGGCAGAAGTATATGATCACGATATAGAAGAGGAGGCTCACAGAAGTGTAACTTGCATTGTATAATGTAGTCCATTATCTATAGATGTCAGTTGTTGAGGCATCATTTGAAATGGCCTGTTCATACATGCCTTGCAGGAAGTTCTTAATGATTTGTTTTAAAAAATTGTACAAATAAGTAATATTTTGACTCAGGCAGTGTTCTCTAGGATATATTCAATTAATTGAAAAAATATGCATGGAGGGCTGGGTGATTAAATTGTATTAAATAGAAACATTTGGATTGATATGCGAACTTGCTAATATTTATAAAGAAAATTATGAAAACTTTAAAACTGGTGCTGAAGTCCTGATTATTTTTTGTAGTTAAGAATAATGTTCATGAAAGTGAGAAACTTAGTGTTGATGTGATCCAAGTAGACAGCTTGCACATGTACCTCAGTCCTGTTCTACGGCATCTGATATGATCATTCTGAACAGACACTAGTTAGTTTATCGTGGTGCTCTTGCCATATGGAAAAAGATCTTCTGAAGGTCTAGATGAAATACTGTATTAGAGCCTGACCTTGGAAACCCCTACTCATGCAAGTAATCCCACTGAAGTCTCTCAACAGGACAAAGTAAAGGCTACTCACGTAAGAGTTTGCAGGTTGAAGCTTTAGAGCTGCAAGCAGTATGCATGTACAGAAAATTCAGCACACGAGTAATTGTATTGACTAGGCAGGGTAGTAATAATAATACCATACTCTGACTTTTGTGAAACTACTCACATGCTTACATTTTAATACATGCATACAGGGCCGGCTCCAGGGTTTTTGCTGCCCCAAGCGGGGCGGGGGGAAGCCTCAATCTCGATCTCTGCCGCTTCAGTCTTCGGCAATTCGGCGGCGGGTCCTTCGCTCCAAGAGGGAGCGAGGGACCCGCCGCCGAAAAGCCGGACGTGCCGCCCCTCTCCGTTGGCCACCCCAAGCACCTGCTTGCTGGGCTGGTGCCTGGAGCCGGCCCTGCATGCATAAAATGTACATGTTTGCAAGATGGGGGGCCTAGTTGTTTTACCTTTTGATCTAAGACATTTTCTAATTCTGCAATAAGTTTCCAGATACTATTGCTCAGTTTTGACAGTGAAGGAGGGAGTGGTATTTGTCTAAAACAAAAGCAAGGTGATTAATTCGGAAGGAGTCAAAGGTAAATAGGTACCCGCATTCCATTGACTTTCAATCTGATTTGAGTACCGGCTACCTTAGACTCCTTTAGAAATTCCTAGCCTACGGGAGCACATCCTAGGTTTCTTAAAGAACCACAGCCAAAGTTGCAACCACTTACAAACCTGGAAAGAATAACCTGAAAGAAAAGGGATGGAAGTGCTCAGCCTACATCAGTGGGTCATAAGTCTTGGTCTTCCTATGGCCACTCTTCTATACCACAAAGCAGCTACACAACTTAGCATAATTCATTTTAATTTCCTTAGACAAATATTACAGCTAGCTTTTTTGCTGCACTAGCCAGCTGTCCTATATGGACTAATTCAGGGGTCAGCAACCTTTCAGAAGTGGTGTGCAAAGTCTTAATTTATTCACTCTGATTTAAGGTTTCACGTGACAGTAATACATTTGAACGTTTTTAAAAGGTCTCTTTCTATAAGTCTATAATACATAACTAAACTATTGTTGTACGTAAAGTAAATAAGTTTTTTAAAATGTTTAAGAAGCTTCATTTAAAATTAAATTAAAATGCAGAGCCCCCGGACCAGTGGCCAGGACCTGGGCAGTGTGATTGCCATTAAAAATCAGCTCGCATGCCGCTACCCTTGGCCTAATTCTTTAACATTAGACTGATTCTTAATATCACTAGCTTCCCCTTATGAATCCATCAACCGAGGATGGGTTTTTAGCCTTACGTATTTAAACACAGGTGCAGTGCATTTAACCCATTGTGCATTCACTTCAGTCCTATTTAATGAGATGATTAGCTAGATTGCATTCTTTAATACACACGATGAGTTTAAAAACCCTAATGTAAAGCATTCACATATTCAATAACTCATTGTTGCAGTGAATGCTGCTGTCGGTTTCTTTTATAATACTGTAAAAATTTGCTCTGGGATTAATTATCTTGACCATATTCCATCCTGAATCAATTTTTATGTTCCCAGCAGAACTTCCTTAAAGGTAGGTTTTATAAACAAAATAGAGGGTTTTTTCCCCACTAACATTCTAAAGGCCACTCAGTCTCCCTGATACTTTCTAAAACATAAACCCCAACAAGGTCACTGTTTTATGAGATTCCCCTCTGCTGCCTCCTGGAATGGTTCTCCACTGTTGACACAAACACAGTGACATACTTTGAATGACATGCTTGTGATTTCATCCAGGAATCTGCACCATGGAGCTTCTCAGTTTAAATTAAAACTTTATATTGCATACGATATAGTAAAGGCTTACATTTGTTCTTGACAAAAGTCCTTATTTTAAGTTACGAAATAGAGTATTTTGTGCCTTGGATGTAACTGGGCTCAGGGAGTGGGGTATGTAGAGCAGTTCTAAGCCATTAGACTATGTGAATGACCCCCTTTTTGTCCCCCTCCTATGCACTTTGGGCATCCACCAACTTTTCAGCAGAGGCTGGCCCCATCAAGATTATTTGATGTGCACTGTATGTAGAGGAAAGAGAGGAGTCTAATAGTATTTCCTGATGGCTTCAGAAGAAGGCTCCTTATTTCCCATCTCCTTTGCACAGTCCTTGAGGTGAGCATGCACCTGATTTGCAGGTTAGATTATCAGTCCCATTGATTTAGTCCAGAGATTACTAAAGATGCTGAATGCTTAAAATACCATGGGTAAGAGGTTTTTAGAATACCATTTCCCCCATGCACCTTTCTTTTATTATTAGAAAGGTTGACTTGGATGCCCACAGATTTTTCTGATCTTGATGACAACCACTGGCTGTCCCTTCAGATGTCTGTATGCATACAGATCCTGCTTTTTTAATAATTTAAACAACATTATGTGACTTTCTAAACCTCTTAGTTTATATCCCTTGTCATTAATTTCTTGGAAATCAGAATTTCTTGAGATTCTCAAAGCCAAGCATAACTTTTTTTTTTTACTAATGTCCAACTTTAATCAGTAATGTTTAGGGCCTGATCCTACTCTCATTGAAGTCATTTCAGTTGCAACTCTTTGACTTCAAAGGATGTATAAGTAGGCCCCAAGTCTATATTATAAAGGTTATAGTATCACACTGAAAATCTTTGTCCATTATATGCAGTATTACAGAGTGCGTTCATATTTGGTAAACCAATTGGTGTGCATTTGGTAAATCACTGTAACAAGAAATTGTTCCTAATACCATTATTGCCAGATATCATAAGCTTTTGCTTTGGTCATTGTTACACTTAAATTTTAGAGCCCCTGGAAGGTTTGGGGTTTTTTCAAGCTGTATATCTGACTTACAAGTTTCTTTTGTTAAGATCTGCATCATCTTAAATTTAATTTTCATGCCATATGATCACCTCTATGCCTATCACATTAAAAGTGAAGCAAATAAGAGTGAGACACAATGTTGGGATGACTAAGTCTAGAAATAGCATAGCATAAAACTTGAGAGAATTACCGAGTGCCTGAATTCTTATGCATATGAGTAAAATTACTCACATGGGTAGATGTTTGTAGGATTGGGTGCTAACATCTTCTTGTCCCCCACACAGCTACGCTTTTTAAATCATTTTCATCTCTGACCCTGACAAATGCTACTAAATGTTTTATTTAGTATAATTAATTACCAGTCTAGCTCCTCTTTTGCCCCACGAAGGAAATTCTATTCATGTTGAGGCCACAACAGCATCCAGTCTTGTTCTGTTTTTTATACCAGTTAGGCATTTTCCCATGTTTTGAGTCTAGACAGAAAAATGACTGCATAAAATTTCACTGGAAATGGAAAATGGCTTCTCAGTATTAGTGGGGAAAGGTTACAGGTCACAGTCAGTCCCATGTATAATGCTTAAGGGCCCAATTGTGCAGGCAGCTCTCATAGGAGCAGTCCTTGTTCATTGAAGTCAAGGGGACTTCTCCATGAAAAATTTAGGCCAAAATATATCTTTGAAGGATTTTAACTGTCATTTCAGACGAATCATAGCCTATGTAAGAACTACACTAGAATGATTTTAATCACTGAAATATGTAACATAGATACATGTTTAGTAGAGAGATTTGACTTAGCAATTAGATTTTAAATAGAATTTGTAAGCAAGACAATTATTTTATTAAGTTTCAAAGTAATTTACAGATGGGTGCTTTTGATTTTAAGTGCTTCCAATTTAAGGGGAAAAATACTTGATGCCTCCTGTGTATATGTATGTGTAGATATGTGTGTGTGTGTGTGTGTGTGTATGTATTTGGTATAATAGGATTATACAGTCTTTGTGAGTCACTGATATGTGCAATAAACTTTAGAGCGCGTGCAAATGAATTTTTGTCATTTCATAGTCTCTGAAGGCTGGGTCTGTTGTAGACCCCAAATCTGTAAAGAGTCAGCTCCCATTGACTTCAATGGGCTTTGGATCAGATCCCAGGTAGAGGAGGGAATATCCATTTTAAAGGGACTCCATCAATTGAAAGTCTATTCAATCTCAAAAAATGAATTAAAAGTTGTCCCAGATACAACTGTGAAACCATTACAGAATTAAGGAATGGTATTTTCATATTAAATAATTCTCTCCCTTTTTTGCTGTGTGAAAAAATCATATAAACAGGGAAAACTAAGGCTCCTTTTCTTAGAAAGGCTTTGGGGCAGAGAACCTCTCTTTCCACATATAGCCCTCTTGAAGTTAATAGGGGCAAAGTTGTATGTGGGGCAAGGTGCAGTCTGCAAAGAGGTCCTCCTGCTGGACTTGGATATCTGACTATACACAAACAACAAAAAAGAAACCAAGGTTTCTCTCATTGCTTTTCATTGCAGTTACCTTAAGAGGTTATAAAAGTGCATATTGAAGGGTAATTAAGGCCCCTGTCTCAATAATAGAATATAATTTAAAAACTCATTCTTTAAGTGTTACTAAAAGAAATTGCTTAGATTAATTCAGATAAACACACTCTCAATAATCTTACATGTCGTTTTACTTCACTTGCTTTGGAGAATGAAATGAGGTTAGTGAGTTTCACTTTAATTAGGTTTTAACTTCATTTTCTAGTTTTGCCTTTGTACAATGCTGCAATGTTTTACATTGTAGACACTGATGAGGAATCCTAAGATGCACCCAAAAATTGTTGTCCTTTATTTAAATGGTTAAAAATTGTTGTTCTACATTATTTAAAGATGTTTTCATGAGGTATTTACTAATCGATTGTGCAGAAACCTCTAGCTCCTTTTGATTTTTGTAAAACCTAGTTTTTAGGCTAAACAGGGGTACTTGCTCTAACTGTATTTTCTTCCTGTTTACAGTGTTGTTATAGCTGTGTTGGTCCCACAA